TCATCTCTCCCTATTAGTGACCACTTCTCTACTGTGTTCGAAGATGCCCATGTCTCCCAGATCCTCAAGACACTCTCATTTGATTGATCTATCCCATAAGTTGTCTGATGCCTCTTTTCCCTTTTATGGTTAAAATCCTTGAGAAGCTGTCTGCAATAGGTGCATCCATTTCCTTTTCCTTCACTCTCTTCTTCACTCTTTGCAGTTTGGCTTCCAAGCCCATCATTCAGTGTTCTCTCGAAAGTTATTACTTTCTGCTTAATTGCCAGACCTAATGGCCTTTTCTCAATCCTCATACTTTTTGCCCTCTCTGCAGCCTTTGACACTGTAATAACCCTCTTCTCCTTGATATTCTGTGTGACCACTCTTTCTTCATCTTCTTTGCTGGATCTTTATCCACATTATACCCACAAACTATGATTCTCTCCCATAGAGACATATCCAAAACTGAACTTGTTATCTTTTCCTTCAACCCTCCCATCTTTCTAAATTTCCTATTATTGTCAAGGGTACCACCATACTCCCAGTCATCTGGGCTTGTAACCTAGGTGTTACACTTAATTCCTCATTCTCTCTCACATCCAAGTCCAACTGTTTTGTTGTGCTATCTCTCACATATGCCTACTTCTCTCCTCTGATACTGCCAGCACTCACCAGGTACGTGCCCTCATCACCTCATGCCTGGACTATTAAAACAGCCTGCTAATTGGTCTCCTGGCTTCAAGCCTCTACTTGCTGCAGTCCATCCTGCACTAAATTTTCAAAGTGATTTCCCAAAGCATAGGTCTGATCATTTGATCTTCCACCTTCCACCATTTGGCCAACTCCAGTGGTGCCCTATTACCTCCAGAAGCAGATACAAAATCCTTTTTGGCTTTTGGTATTGGAGTTGTGACATGGGGTGATGATATCAGGATGAAAAGGTCATGTCAATCAGGTAGAAAAGTTCAGTGAGGTTTCATATAGTAGCTCTTATATTATTTGGTTTCCCTATTAAGTGAAAAAGAACTATTTCAATATGTGGCTCAATGAAGCCAATGATCATATACATCATATGTGTTGTATATGTATGTGTTGTATATGTAGTTGTACCGCCTACCAGGTCTGTCACGGTGCCTTGCATGAGGCATAAATATTTGTCAAAAGAATGTTACTGATGGGCTCCAAATAGGACTTGCTTCAGCCTGTTTATTCTATTCCCAGAGTATCTGAAAGGTAAGTAGGGAAGCATAGCCCATGTTAGGAGTCTGTCACTGATTCCCCTTCTAGAAAATCTCATGAGTGATCAACCTGCATGCAAACAACCACCACCACCACCACCACCACCACAACAACAACACTATACACCTGCTAATGTCTACTCCTAATTCTCACCTCTACTTCCACAGAAAGTGGAAAACAAGAATTATTAAAAAAAAAAGGAAACTATTTTCTTGGTGAGATTAGATCCTTAAAGGTTAAATGCCTGACATCTTATGGTTTTAGCTTTATATCCACTATAGAATTCCATCAGTCACTATATATCCAATTAAGCTTCATGCCTCAATGTGCCCTAGACAATATATTTCTGACCTGAAACAACTGTAATGGTCATGTTGCTGATTATCAGACACATCTTTTGGTCACCCACATAAAATGTTATTTCATTGTTTGGAATTATAGGCCATTTTGAAAATATTCACAACACTTGCCATGGGTATCCAAATTGGTTCATTTATCTGGCAGTGTTAATGAAAGAAAAAAAAAGTTTAGAACCAGAAGAGATCATAAGAAATAAACTGGCCCAATGTTCTTGTTTCACAGATGAGAGAAATAAGGGTCAGAATGGCACAAAAGAATTGCCAAAGGTCACATAACAAATTAGTGGCAGAGTTGATATTGGAATGAAAGTTTTCTGACTCCCAGGAGGAGTTCCACTTGGAATAATTGGACAACATCTTCCCCACTTAAATGAATTTTCTAGATAATTGAAAGTTTATACTGTTAAATGTTCTTTTCTTTTGCAATTTTTGATGGAAATCTTTCTAAAATTTAGCACCCCTCTATTTTCTTAGAAAGAACATACAGAACATACCTTTTTTTCTTAATGATTATGAGTCATTTTGTTGAACAATATTCATAGACTGTTGGAATTGGAAAAAGTATTACAGACCACCTAGTCTAAACTTCTTGTTTTACAGATGAGGAAAATGAGGCCAGGAGACATAAATTGCTATACTGTTATAACCCAGCGATGCCCTGAAGGGCCATTAAAACATGTAGATCTTTGCCACTCTGCTAAACGGACTCAGACTTTGTGTAGTTTTTCTCTGTGCCTTTTATTCCTCCGATATTTTCAGAAATATCAGAAATTCTTCTGCTGTCAGTTTTTGCTACTCCCAGCGTCTGCCATTTTATATATACAATTGTCTGGACAAAGGTCTGGGAGTGATTCAGTCCCTTTTGTGGTGGCAGATATGTTCATTTTGTGATGGCTAATTGCAGTTTACAGATCTTTTTTGTATATTTCTAGGTTTGTAGTTTAGTTCTGAATGAAGTCTCCCAAAAAGATAAGTAGGTTATTACTACACCTCTGATAGATATATCACTAGTTTATCACTTCCATTCATTTTGTTTCTAAAATAAAACTTTAATCAGTTTTCTGCAAACTTTGTTGTTGAAATATAAATAACTTAGACTAGTTCCAATTGAAAGGATCCAGATATACAGGTTTTAGACTCTATATCTGACTGATTCTAAAATTGTTATGTTTTAAGAGATGGGAATAGCCTTCTCCACACTATGATTTTTAATTTTCAAGTTCAGAAGTCAATATTTTATCCTAGCATTCTTTCCATGTTCTTTTTCACTTCCTCAAATCCAATATAAACCAGCTCTACTTGATAGGCATAAACATTTAACTCTAATAATCCTTCAAACAAGTGTATATATACACAAGTGTGCACTCCCACACCCACACCCTTGGGTTCCCTGCCCCCCAGTGGTTTGTTTCACTACATTTTAAAAGTACAAAAAAAAAATCTTTCAGAGTTTTAAATTTTAGTCCCAACTTAAGAAACAAATACTATACCTGCATCTGGTCTAAAAATTGTTAAAGTTGTGAAAATATTACAGATATTAACAGATGTTCCAATCATAGTTTATAACATGTCTCTGAGGGACAAGAAGAAATGGTGCTCTCTAGGAAACATGTTGATGATTCCTAACGAAAATAATACCAATTTTACTGTGAAAATTCATTAACAAAGCCCATGCTATTATAGTACTAATATTAATATCTCACATTTACATACGGCTTTAATGTTTATAGAAGTACTTTCTCCACATCACTGCAAGACAAGCAGTGCACATATTGTTACTCCTGCTGTTCAGATGAGGAAAACTTAGTTTCAAAGGGCTAATAAATGTCCCAGTCAGGATTCAAATCCAGGTCTCCTGATCCCATCCCATTATACCATGCTGTCTCTCAACTTATACATAAAAATCTGTGCCATGAACTTGGCAACACTAAAAATGACCCCAATCTCTAACATGTTCTTTTATTAGCAATAACAACAGCAAAATATTGACTTAGACAACTGATTTTATTTCTGAATGCTAAAAATTTCTACTTCATAGCATTGCTATTTGTCTGTCTTTCTGTCAGTCTATCTGTCTATATGGTAGGAAAACAACAAATTGGATTGAAATGGCATGCTCTCTAGACTTTGCTACCAGATCCTGGCTGCCTTCTCACTCTGGACTTTCCCTTAGTGCCTGTGGCTTTCTCATCCCAGAACATCCCTTCATCCCTAAGGTCTCCTTCTGTTGCTCCTGGAACCTCTATTCTGAGGAGGGGCTCCAGTCCAGCCACCCTTCATTCCTCTCCTACTTCTGATTCCGACTCTCTGGACTCTATCACCATGCTCCCAAGCAGATAACTCACCTCTCCTGACACCCCCATCCAGCTCCCTTTTATGTGTGGTCTTCTCTCATTAAAATGTAAGCTCCTTGAGGGTTGGGATTGGCTTTCTTTTTGTTTGTGTTTATCCCTAGCGTTAAGCACAATGTCAAATACTAAGTGATTATTCAGTGCTTATTGACTGATTGCCTAGTATATTTCTGGCCAACAAACAAGACAACTGATTTTAAAGTTCAGACCAATATCCAAAAATCATTGAGTTGTTTAAAATTTCTAATCATAAAATTCTCCTTAACCCAGTTTCTCTTTTTGTAGCACAAAAAAAAGTAACATAAGACACTTACTTAAATACTGACTCTGTCATAATAACAACTCATTTGTATATAGTGTTCTGCAAGAACTTTCCTCACAGCAACCCTGTGATGCTGGTGATGTAAGAATTTTTATCCCCATTTCAGTGGCTTGCCTAAAAGTCATTCATCTGGTAAATGTCAGACCCAGAACTTGTACCCAAGTTTCTAGGTCTATTCTATCATGCTGCTTCTGATCAATTTAGCTGGTTATTTTCTCCACAGGCATTCCCCCAGAACTTCATAATGGACAAAAAGTTGTTCACAACATTAAAATGATTTAAGCAAAACAAATGACACAGACTCAGAGAATTCTGTTTTCAAATTCTAATTTTGTCCCCATTTGCCACATGGCTTTGACATCCTCACTGTTCTGTGTCTATTGTACGTCTCTGTGAAATAGTAGTACCAAGCTGTGGTAGGTAATGGCTAATTAAAATGATAAAACACCAATGTGCAAAGATAAAAAAAAAACCACAAGTACAAAGAAACACTACTTTAATATAATCAATTATTAAAGTGACTCAGACATGCCACAGGTCAAAGAATGTCCCTTTAAACCTAAAAACTCCATGCAGAGGTAAGCTAGATATGATAAAGTTAACTTCTGAAGTTGGTAACCTTAACGCTATAATTTAAAAGGGGATACTAGCTCAATGGTTCTAGAACATAGATTGTGCTCCCTGCCTCCAAAAGTAGAAAGAAGGGGGAGTAAAGCAGTCTCCCTCAGGAAGGTAGTAAGGACTTACTGGTACTTTGAATGGTGAAGTATTTGCAGCATCCATGGAGTTGGGTTTCTCTGATGTGCTGGTCCCCGAGATGCTCCGCCTTCGTGGGGACCTTTCTGCTGGCACCTCTGAAAATGACAGTGAAAAGAGCAAAAGTGAGAAGAAACTATCAAGACTTTTCCCTCCTTTGATTAAAGTGTAAAATACTTATTTCTCACAAATGCTTAAAAGCTGCATTCTGTGTCCACAGAGTTCGTTCAAGATTCTTGGTAAGATTAAAATGAGGCCAAAATTAGGGATATGGCTTACCATGATATTTTATAAATCTATAACTGAATGTAAATAAAATAGTTTCTGTGAGTTATACTCAGTATACTAACCACATCATCTACATCTCTCATTTATCAGTATGCTCTATCCATTTAGCAACGTAGGAGTTAAGTGCATCAAATGAACTGCTGATAGCATGAGAAAAAAAAATCAAGTCGAGTGGTGAACATGATTTGGTGATATTTTGCAGAAAGGTCAAAGTTCAGTACCATGCAGATAAAATGATTCACGAGTGCAAATCAAAAGACAAGAAGGCTGAAAGCAGCGGCTTGGGTAAAATCACACATATGCTTATGCAGATATAAAAATAGATCAGTTTTCTCCTGGTTCTCTCAATATGACCTTACTAAGATCTTTGACTGTGATATCCTAAATCTATGTAAACTGGCTTAATAAACTGCAATCTTTGCAGAAGATATGATATCAAATTTAAGTGAACTATAATGTACTAAGATGTACGATAATGTGCTATTTTTAGATTTTTTTTGTAATGATATATCTATGCACATATACACACACACACCCAAGAGAGATATACTTATTTATACCTTTATCACAACTGCTTCCCATCTCCAGTTCAACTGATAGACTTAAAGGAATCCAGCTTCTCAGATAACATTAGACTTTCTCAACATGGATAAGAAAAAAAAAATCACATCCTAAAAACATTGTCCTGTGTTATCTTCTGGTTCTTAAAAAAAGGGAGTAAATTTTTATTCCGAAGGCTGACATTTTGACTCCTGCTGTTCTCCCTTTAAAAGACAGATGCAGCTTAAACTTCCATTTCTGGCCTCCTGGCCCTTGGGATCCGTGCTACTTCCACTTCAGAAAAAAGCCGGTTTTTCTCTTGCTCCCTCTCTCTCTTTTTCTTGCTCTTCCCCCTCCCCCTTTCTACAGCATGCAGAGAACGCCGAGAGAAGAAACACACAGGACTGCAGCTATTCAATCCATCGTTCCAACTGCATATCCTCATTAGTTACTTTCAGGCTATTAAGACACCCAACTGCCAATGCTTCCCCAATTACAGAAAATTTCATTACATTATTCTGATCTGCAGCAATAACAAACATTTACTGAAATTTATGACCAGTTGGTGCCAAGAAAACATCATTTTATACTGCCACTGTAATGCACACAAATCTACACCCCTCCAACCTCACCCCTCCTGTTGCCCTCCCCCACTCCCCTACCTTCCCCTTGGGAAAGCTTAACCAGTAACTTTTGGTATATTGGACTCTGATTCCTCCACTACTGTAAAATCTCTTCCCTAAACTAAAGCTCAGCTGAAACCAAAATGCAAGATCTCTAATTTATGAACATATTAGATGCCTACAAAATGATGAAATTCCACAGTATTATAAAATTAGGAAAAACTACAAGTCTTCTAACTTGCCACTAACCATCAGATATTAGATGAGAGTTAATACAATGATCTGTTTTCAAAATTCAGAATACCTAAAGTATAGAGTAGATTACCAGTAAGCTCTAAAAACAGCAGTATCATTAGTGAAATTTTGTGGACATGGTACAAAGCACTCGATATAAACAGATCAGCTTGTCAAAGCACACTTAGTAAAATGAATTTCAGACTTCAGGACCATGACTCAGCTCACCACATTGGGCAAGTGTGGGCAAACCAAGGAATTGGGGGCAGGGAATCTCATAGGACTGATGTTTCTTGAGATAACTGCCTGAACTGGTAGATAATCTTTGGAAACAAATCATACTTAGTAGAAATCAAATATTAAGCTAATTTTTTTAATATTCCTGGGGCAAAGCGAAGTTTCAGTTGAAGGCATGATTTACCTTCATTAGACTTATCTTTATAAAAAAGGAAAAAAAGAGTGAAAGAAACAACTGCTTTTAACAAAAAGAAAAAATATTCTAGCAAACATTCTTCACCAAAACCTCATGCTTTATCTAAGTAAATGATAACAAGAATAACTCACTTCCATAGTTTTTTCTCGCTATAATTTTCAGCAACAGCAACATGTACAAGAAAACATTAAATGTATTTACTTCATACTATGAACTATTTAAAATCACCCTGACTAAACAAGAACCTATACTTCAAACTCCAACAAGGTAGGAAGTTGGGCATTTCCAGGTCTTTCAGAGAGGTGGTTCAATGTCATGAAATAGTCACAAGTAATTGCCTCAAACCATAGATTTTAGTTTGGGTTTCAAGGGAGGAGGGAAGCTAGGTTATTCTATAATTTTTAATAATGTCATCTGAACAGGATGAAGAAGAAAAATTGGTTAAACTTATACAAAGGATACCAAAAAAGAAGTCCACATTACTTCTCTTTCCCTACCCCAAGAGTTAACATGACAACTTATCTTGAGTAGCCAGCAGGAGATCTCCTTCAACCTTTGAAACACTTAAGTTTCTTAATTTTTCCAGAAGATACAGATTAGACAATGGAAGGTCTTCAGAGAAACAGCATTCACTCCTTAACAGAGTGGAAGAAGAGGCAACATCCACTTTGAAATGGAGTAGAGCAGCATCAGCAAGAACATATTAGCAACCTGCTGGATCAGTCACAGGCTAAAGTACAGGGCTGCATATTAAATTGGCCCAGCTACCTTTAACTTCAAATCCACAAGCAGAAAGTAAAGCGGCTGCTATGCTCTTAAAGCTGTGTTTTTGCTGAGTCGGAAGGAAAATCTATACCATCTCCACTACGCCAAAATTAGATAGTTGCCTTGTCTCGCCTCCCTCATGTTCCATACTACTATTGCATTATTTTCACCTGCTGTAAAATCAATGTACCTTTCATAGTCACAGTATTAAATTACAGTCATTTTGGGCATACTTCACTCTCAGATGCTGATGCAATAAACAAATAATATTGTCTCAGTGGATAAATAAAAGTCTAAAACTTCTTCTGAAATACACACACACACACACACACACACACACACGCACACACACACACACGCACACACATTCTCAATCTTTAGGTTGAAGAGAAAAAAAGGGGAATGGCCTGATGGGGGCAGTTTGAACTCATCTCTTCATTTCCTTTACTGTGAAATGCAAACTAGATAAGGTGACAACTTCCAGAGATGATAGAAACCTTTCAACACAGTTCTAAGTAGGATGATGTATTGTATTGAACAGAGAAGCAAAAAGACCTAGATTCTTTGCCTAGCTCCTCTACCAACTCCTTTTCTCCACTGGTTTTCCTATCTTAAATTGGTATACTAAGAGTAGTCACTTAAAGACTTCATGGACATTGTGAGGATTAATGAGATTGTACCTGTGAAGCAATATGGAAGAAAGTAGCCCTCTCTGTCCAAAGTATATAACCAAAATGGAATTTCTTCAACATGCACATTCATCTGTCACTTCTTTTAGAAGTTGGATATCAGTGTCATTATGCTTTTTCTTTTTTTTTCCTATGACATGTCATAGGAAGAAAATGACAACTGGACAATTACTGGAATGATGACAATCATGGTCGAAGGTGTATTTTTTGCCTTTCCCTCAGAATCCAATTCTGTGCTCATGGTTTCCATTCCATTTAATCATGAAACAAAAATTAAAAAATTTCTAAATCTCTTCTAAGGAAACATCCTCTAGCTGGCATGCTGGTTTTGTAATTTTACTCTCTCTCTCTCTTTGGGAACACTAAGGAATTTCTTTTAAAGTGGGGGTGCATCTGAGAGATAGAGGAATAAGACCTAAAGTAAGGCACACTAAAGAACTTACTGATGCAATGAATGGGAGGCGAGGCAGGGAGGGAAGTTAAAGAAGCCTGATTAGTTTTGCTCTTGTTCTTGATACTATCTTGTTTAGAACAATAAAAGGCATGGATGATGGAATATAAACTCTTTGAGACTAGGGATTGTTGGGTATAATTTGGTTTTTGTATTCCCAATGTCTAGCACAACACTTGGCACATAATAGGTGCTTAATAATTGCTTGCTAATTGATAGGTGGGTGTTTTAGCTCCAGCAGACAGAGGGCTTCAGATAACCTTATAGGTCTTTTTTTTATGGTGCCAATTTTAAATAGATTTTATTCTCTAAGATAAGAATTGCATTTCCACTTGTTTATAGTACTGATAAAGTGTAACACTGCTCACTTCTCTTCTTCTGCACATATTCAAGTATTCAGAATGCCTAGATTTACACAGTAGCTTAAATGTTAACTTTTAAACCGCCACTGCCTTTGCTACAAATTTGAGTTTTTCAATTTTTGTAAAGATGTGTGGAATGCTCTTTTTTTCTGAACTGCTTCAATGGTGGGTCCAGGAGAAGCCCCTCCAGATGGGGCTGCTTCACTCCCTGGGGGGAACCCCCCCCCCGGCATGTTTCCTGGCATGTCCCCTGCACTCTGGGACAGCTTAGCAATGATGGGGTTGCAGACCTTCACTAATTCTTTCTGGCGATGCTCAAATTCTTCCTTCTCAGCAGTCTGGTTCTTATTCAGCCAGCTGATTATTTCATTACATTTGTCAAGAGTCTTCTGTTTATCTTCATCACCAATTTTGCCTTGCAATTTTTCATCTTCTATGGTAGCTTTCATGTTGAAAGCATAAGATTCAAAAGAATTCTTGGAAGACACTTTGTCTCCACCTTGTCTCTTCAGCCTTGTATTTCTCAGCCTCCTGGACCATGTGCTCAACATGACCTTTGTCATTGGTGATGATCTTATTCTCCTTGTCTGAGTTCTTAACCACAGCAGAAACGCTAAACGTGACATGTGCTTCAATGTCGAATTTTGTTTCAGTCGGAGGAGCACTCTTAGGGGGAGTGGGGATTCCTGTGATCTCAAAGATCCTTTGTCATT